AACTCCCCAAAGACAAAGAGGAGTCAAAATCCGGGATATTTCCGCTCCGACGCTTTGGACTGTCGACCGCTAAACCCCCGGATATCACCCCTTAATCCCGGAGCGCACGCCGGATTACCGGGACGCGAGTGCTGATTTGTTTCGGGAAGTTCTGGAGGATTACGACTCCATCCCCTCCGAGAGTCAATAGACCCATCTAAACCTCATAAGAGGCGAGAAGAGGCCATGAGATCAAGGGGGGAAAGGAGATTGAAATCTCCTGAAGATTTTCGCGTCTTGTTTCCCGAAGTACTGCTTTTGATGGTTTAGTTCGAGGTGGATTCTATAGGGCCATAAATTATTCTGACTGAAGATGCAAAGATAATCGGAACATAATCTTCACACTCATAAAATGTAAACAAGAAATTAATTTAATTATGCTTTTTTACGATTTGTTAAAACATAATTAAATTAATTATTAGTTATTATTTTTATTATTAGGGGCCTGATCACTGAGTGTCTGGTGCTCGGTGCCACAGGTTTTAGGTTCGAGTCCCAACGGTGTCATGGATGTTTGTAGTGATTTGGAATCCATTTTAAACTGTAGCTATTGGTGTAATATTGCTCCTCCTATTGCTAATACACCACACCACATCACTGTACCTAGAACTGAGTTGTTTCTTTACAGTTAAGGAATGATGTGGGTAAGAAGTCTGACTGGGCCTCGTGACGTTCTTACAGTCATGTGAGATCAGAACCTACGGCTTAAAGTGTATTCCGAACCATTACAAGCATCCATGGCATCGCCTGGATTCAAACGCGAAATCTATGGCACCGAGCACCAGTACGGGTGCAATATTACCCTAGAGCATAGGGCCTACGCTAGGGCTGACAACCCTACCCAGCGAAAAGAAAGCATCCCATGTTTCAGAATCTGCAAGTAGGCAGAAAGCCTTGGCTTACCATGAGTATGGGCTTGCGCCAATGAAGAAGTCGAGGACTATTACAACAATTATTAGAGGGTTTTTTTATATGTGTACATGAACCTCGTATTCTCTAATGTGATACGAGCCGACGAGCGATGATGGTAGAACATTGCTTTTCTTTAAAACCTTCATGGACCTCACAGTTGCGTATCGTGCGGTAGAAAATTCAAAAAATAAATTCTAAAACTCTCCCAAGGCAGCACGATTGCCAATGTGAAACGTTTATAAACGTGAACACAAACATAATCAAGGCTTCTTGTTCATAAAAGCAGTGACTGCGACGGACAACAAAACTGGATTTTGCCTCCAAATAGTTTCATGTTCTTCTTGTTCTCTCGTTCGCTTTTTTCTTTGAGAAGGAAAAAAAACTTTTAATTATTCTAACCCAAACCAGAATCTTAAAACATTAAATATCTTTATGAATGAGTAAAAGATATATTTCATTTACATTAAAATTGAAAAAAAGATGCATTGGTAAGAAAGATATATTGTTTCAAATTTAGTTCTTGTTTTTAATCAATTTAAATATATTATTTAACGATAAACGGCAAAATATATAACAAAAAAGAAGTTTATTAATTATTCAATTCTTCCTTTCTCCTCTCAAAATAAATTTAGGATTTCTTTTAAAACAATTCCTTATGCTGCTCTGATAGATTCACCTACTTTTGAAATTTTACATTTATTTCATTCCAATTTTTTTACATTTATAAGCAACATAATTAATATAATTAGATTGATTTTCAGATTTAGTATTGTTTATGTATTCCTACTACCCATCAAATTACGAAAAGATTTGAATGGAATTTTATATTAAAATACGTATTTTTTATAAAAGTTCTTGATTTAATTTTAAGTGGGAGCTTAATACTAATGAAAATATAATCATCATGCTTGATGATTTTGATATTATCATCAGTCTTGTACTGATATAATAATCAGTACAATGATTATGAAAATACTTATGTATAGGGATTTGTTTAGCACAATTTTGATAACTAAATAATTAGGTGTGAAGAAATTTCTTCGTCGTTTGCATTATTACTTCGGATTTATACTTGAGAGTTCTGTTACTGAACTACAAGGATATATATATATAAAGATTAATCAAAATATAGTTTTTAATTTCCAATTATTCACAAATTCATTTTTTTTAAAATTATGTAATTATATTGGCAATCACGATATAAAAAGACATGCCACATTTATGGATGGCTAATGATTTTTAGTAAAAGTCGTACAAAATTAAAAACGATGAATGATGAAAAATCCTGATGAAAAAATGATGAAAACTTCTATCCGAATTGAAAATGATGCTTAATTTATGAATATAAATAGAATTTTTATTATCTGTTGAAGGGAGAAAAATATTTAATGCACAGTGTTCAACAGCACTGTTTAATCACTTAATTAGCACTGTTTGATCCTTTCTAAGTCTATTTATGATGTAATAAATCTTATATAAAAATTATCTTTAAATTTTCTGTTATATTCCCTCGAAACATCAGTATTAAAAAATTCAAAAAAATTATATACTTTAATTAAAAATTAAAATAAATCTTTAAAGGAAATGCAGATTTAAGCCCAAATTTATTTAATAATTTGAGAAAACTTTGTTTAATACACAGCTATCAACCACACTCATAATCATGGTAATCATCATGATTAATTACAACTACATCTAATAACTTTTGATGACACTGAGTTCATCATCACCATCATCATCACCATCATCATCGTCATCATCATCGTTGGCGCACCAGCCCCATGGTGCCTATTGGTAGATTTCGAGAGAGGAGATGTTTTCTTTTTTTATGAGATAGGGTCGTCAGCTCTATGACCAATGCTCTACAGCCATATTAGACCGGGAACTGCGGTTTAAAGTAGATGTGACACTGAGTTGGATTACATACTATTTTTTTTTTAAAATAGCATTATAAAAATCAATTCATAGGTTTAATTAAAAGTTTACAAATTTTCAATAATTATAGAAATATCTCTGGATATTGAAAAATTAATCTCAATATTAACCAACTTTTCAATTTATTTACGCTTAACAAACCCAATATGTTAAATGATAATCTTCTAAAGAAGCATCATCATCATCAGCTACTTGAAGCAATTTCTTCACAACTCCAGCATTTGGCCCCAATCAAAACAAAGCTCCGTCTGGTACATCCCCTTCACTAATATCTCTCTTCCCCCCCAACCCCCAGTTCCAAGATAATCCAGAGAGCCAACCCGAATTGGGGGTGCGGGGGGTGGGGCCGAAATCAAAAGCAATCTGGGGTCTGGGCGCGCTGTCATCTGTGGTGAGATAAGACAGGGAGCATGCAGGGTACCATCCCCTGTCTCCGCCAATAACGGGAATTTTGAGGGAGCACCCCAGGGGTGGGATAAGATCTGTCCGTGTAACGCAATTAGCGCCCGGCATCCAAAAATTAATGGATGCCTCCCGATAACACACAGCGCTGATCGCCAATCGACTGTGGGAAAAGCTGACCTGATCGGATTAGACGGAAGGGGTTTCCCATCTTAATTTTGCTCGGGGGATGGAAGGGGGGGTTGCGCTTTTTAGGGGCTAAAAGTTGCTCGAAAATCTAGAGATGACGGATAGTGTTTGTAGCAGTAAATTGAAAAATTAAAATTTACTGTTTGGTTCAAGTTTTATGACCGATTAAAACTGAAAGATAAGTCAGTATTGTAAATTAATGTCTGAAACTTTACTGCAAAATGCAAAATGGTGGTAAAAGTTACGAAAATTTCATGTGACTGCAATGCAGTTATTATGTTCGCTTTCATAGAAAAAAGTTTTTCATAGTTATTACTAAAGAAGCTATAATGCTTTATTTATTTAATTAATCATCTGTTAATAAATTAGTACGTCGTCGAGATTTAGAGTTATAGTTGATTCACAGTAACAGATTTCCTGTTCAGAACTCGTTGTTACATAGGATAACTAAGAATAATTAATCACTTTATAATATGGATATGAGGACTGATAGCTGAGTGACTGGCGCTCGAGGCCATAGGTTTTGGTTTCGAAACCCGCGGTGACTTGGATGTTTGTAGTGATTTGATCTCGGTCTAATATTATTGTTGAGCGTAGGGCTGACAAACCAACCCCGTAAAAAGAAAACATCTCATGTTTAAGAATCTGCCAATAGGCAGAGGGGCTTGGCCCACCATAGGGATGTTGCGCCATTGAAGAATTATTTATTTAATATGATAATAAATTAGTAGGTTGTAGAGTTCTAGTTGATTCACAGTAACAAATTTCATGTTCAGAACTCGTTGTTGCATCTGATAATTAAGAGCAATTAGTCACTTTATAATATGGATGCGAAGACTGATAGCCGAGTGACTAACCCTGGATGCCACAGGTTTCGGGTTCGAGTCCCGGCCGTGACATGGATTCTTGTAGTTGTTCGGAATCCCCTTTAAACCTTAGCTCCCAGTCTAATATGACTATTGGGTGTTGGACTGACAACCCTACCCCTTAAAAAGACAATATCTGTTTCGGAATCTGCCAGAAGGCAGACTGTCACGGTCCATCATGGGGTCATTGCGTCAATGATAATGATGATGATGATAATGAATATTGACAAATTTTCAAATCCTGATACTACTGAAAAAAGTAACTGACGAAGGAATTGTGACCATGGAAGTGGTATAAACGGCAAGAAAAGGGCTTTAAATAGACTGCTAACTTTTTAGTACACAAATAAAATGTACACATCCCGGTAGCATTTATGTTTGTTGTTTCTTATCCTACTTGGCTGGCCAAGCCCACGAGCCCATACGTACGCATGATTGAAGGGGAAGGAAGCAGCTTCTGCTGTGATGGAGCACCCGTAGGTAGAAAGTCTGACTTTGGCTCCGTGACGCTCTTACAGTCATAGGAGACCGGGACCTACGGCTTAAAGTGGATTCCGAACCACTACAAACATCCATGGCACCGCCGGGATTTGAACCCGAAACCTGTGGCACCGAGCGCTAGACACTCGGCCATTCAGGTCCCAAATTTGTGAATGCCAACGGCACGCGGTGTTCCCAGGTGGTCACCCACCCAATGATGCTTGACTTCGGTGATCTAACGAGAACCGATATATTCAGTATGGTATGGCTGTTGGCGTTAGCATTTATAAATTTAAGTATAAAACATCGAAGTGTTAAATGTTAATTTTCTATATTATTTTGTAGGGGAGAATTCCTTCTCGTAAAAATTTTCTTTCATGGACAGTATAAAGTTTGATGTTTACATTTAAAACTTGCATGGAAATTTATCCAATAACACCAATTCGCAAGTAATTTGTGTAAATTAAAATATCCTTATGTTTGCATTTTTGTCATTTTAATGCTAAAAATATTACCATGTTATATTAATTTAAAAGAAAAACTTTCAATTGTCTTTTATTGTGGCATGATTTAAAAATTTATTTATCTTTTTTTTTAACTACGTTTATAATGGTGATTCATCGAACGGCAAATAATAAATTTTAGAATCATTTCATACACTTAATCTCAAAAATGTGGACCTGAATGGCCGAGTGGCTAGCGCTCTGGCGCTCGGTACCACAGGTTTCTTGTTCGAGTCCCGGCGGTGCCATGGGTGTTTGTAGTGGTTCGGAATGCACTTTAAACTGTAGGTCCCGGTCCTAATAGGATCGTAGAGCGTTGCGGGGTCATTGTTACTCAGCGCCCGTATCTTCAAGTTACACGCGCCCCCTGGGTAATGCAAAGTGAGTAACGTTGGTGCAGCGCTTGCCTTAAGGCATCCAAGACCAGGCTGTCTAAGTGTTTGCCAGCTGCATTGGAACAAAAAAAAAATCTCAAAAATGTTATTTTTAATTATGCATTAAAACTAAATGAAACTGAATTGACGATAAAAAAGTACTAAATATTTCTAAAAAAGTACTTATTTCAGTGTCGTTGAAATAGAAGATGAAGGGGGAGATTACATTTTTTACCCTACCAGATCTTTTAAACTGCATGATGAACTGTTTTAGATTTACTTTAAAAATTTGAAAGAATTTTTTAGTATCATATATAAAATTAACGTTACCAATTACTAACTATTTCTTAAACTATCTGATAATAAAAAAATATATATTTGAGGTTTTATCTTTTTGTTAATCGATAAATTCAAAAAAAGATAATTAACCGCAAAACATTGTAAAAGTATAACTTTAAAAATTATTCGCAAGATTGAATTCCATTTGTGCGTGTGTGTGTGTGAGTTTCTTAAATATATTAAAAAATGCTGAACAGCTAATAAAAAATTGCCTTTCTGCATCATGGCAATATATTAAAGTGAGGTTTAGTTTGAAATGATATATTTGCCTTAGTTAATTGGAAGAAGAAACAATGAAAAAAATTCTATTTTAAATGAACGATCATCACATGTTTGACAATATGCTTCAACTTTAAGGTGTTCGCATGAAAATTTCATGTAACAATAGAGACCAGTTAACCTTAAAAAGTCTCTAGCAAGACACTTTGTATATTCTAAACGTTTGCCGTGTCAGTTACAAATAATTGCAACATAAATTTCTGAAATTACTTATAAAATATATTTGTATATATATATATATATATATATAAGAGAGCGCGTGTATGTGGGTTAGTGGTAGATGCGAAATATATCTAAATCTTTAAAACGCATTGCATATAACATATAAGTATTGAAGTAAATGCTCTTAATTATTATAAAAACTTCTTCATTGGAGCATCAACTCCGTGGTGTGCCAAGGCAGTTTACCTATTGGAAAATTTCGAGACAGGAGATATTTTCCTTTTAGTGGGTAGTGTTGTCAGCCCTACGCCCAACAGTTTTATTAGATTAGGTACTTCATCGGTTAGATTATTCATTTATAAATTTGAAGCGATTCATTGTAACCTTTTGATTGATGAATTAAAAATAAGTCTATATACACTCAAGAGCCAAAACATTATGACCACCTGTCAATAACGAGTTGGCCCACCTTTGGCGCGCAACACAGCTTCAACCCGCCTTGCCATGGATGCCACAAGTCCTTGGTAGATGGCCGGAGACAAATTGTACCAGATGTTTAAGCAACGGTCACGCAAATCCGAGATATTGCGAATTGGTGGTCTTCGAACTCTGAGCTGCCGTCCCAGGACATCCCAAATGTGTTCTATCGGATTGCGATCCGGTGAGTTAGGCGGCCAGGACATTAACTGGAATTCAGCATCATGTTCCTGGAACCACTCCAACACAATTTTAGCCTTGTGACAAGGGGCGTTGTCCTGTTGGAACACTCCATTTCCAGCTGGAAAAACAGAGGCCATGTAAGGGTGTAACTGGTCCGCAATGATGTTCAGATACCCTGTAGCATTCATGGTCTGCTCTACCACAACCACGGGTCCCAAAGACGCCCTAGAGAACGTCTCCCAAAGCATAATACCGCCACCACCGGCCTGTGTATGACCTACTGTACATTGAGGGAGCAACTGTTCGCCTGGAAGACAACGTATCCTGACACGGCCATCGGCGTGATGAATGACAAATCATGATTCATCTGACCAGGCAACTCTCTCCCACTGATCCATGGACCAGTCATGATGTTCCCGGGCCCAGAGCAGGCGCAGTTGGCGATGACGCTTGGCCAGCAAAGGCACACGAGTGGGACGTTTGCTGCGTAGTCCCATATCCAACAGTGTCCGCTGAACAGTGTGCTCCGATACTATTCTACTTGGCTCTGCATTGTATTGGGCTGTCAAATGAGCCACTGTCTGGCTCCGGTTTTGCTTCACCATGCTAGACAGTCTCCGACGACCTTTTTCTTCCAACACCATGTCGTCTACTGCTGGTTTCACCGTCATTCATACACTTTGCATAAGTACTAACAACTGTAGATCGCGAACAACCCACGAGTCGTGCAGTTTCGGAAATACTTGTTCCGAGCCTTTGAGCCATTACAATCTGCCCTCTATCAAAGTCGCTTAGATTCGCCGCCTTTCCCATCACACACAGAAGTAAGTGAAAGAATGACTCTTCAGACTCTCCAGCAGCAGTTAAATACCACTTCCACCTGATCACGTGCCTTCCACGTCATCCAAGCGAGTTCATTGCAAAATGTAGGGGTGGTCATAATTTTTTGGCTCTTGAGTGTATAATCGAAAGAACAAAAGCATCATTCATTGTTACAAAACCCAAAAATTATCATTTTCCTTTTTAATAGAATGCTGAAAGTATAAATTTATTCAAATACTTAGTACACACTTCACACACTTAAATAGCGAAAATAATTCTAGTAAATTTTTTAATATAATTTATTCATCGAATATGTATATAATGTTTATTATTTATTGAATTTATATTAATAATTTAATTGTAATTAATAATTAATCATGATATTTAGGAAAGTGTATTTTTACAAAATAATTTCAAATGCACTTTAAATGTTTAGGCATTTTTTTAACATAAGATATTATTAAGAAACGAACTGATTTATAATTTATAAAAACTTATTACAATGTCCATATGTGTACAGAGGCCGATTTTATATGAATTACTCCATACTTTTGTATTCTTGAAGTAAGTTTCATATCAAATGGAATTTAAAATTGATATTTCAAACTAATTTCAGCTTAAAAAAAATCATATAGATAAATTTTTGGCATAATAATCTTTCTAAGTTGAATGATGTTCGATTATTATAATGATTTTTAAGATTCTTAATATTATTAAATTTAATATTAATGTAATTTTGTTTTTGTATTTCATTTTAGACTTTTTTAAAAACTTATATTCATTATTTTATTTTGTCAAATCATATAGATACTTTTACTTCATTTCATAGCTTTATTCTGAAGCACTGAAAAATAAATTATAGCATTTTGTTACAATTAGTAAGTAAGTACACGTGAATTAACAAACCGTACATTTTAAATTGATTGCTGAAGAAAATAATTGAAATGTGCAGAAAAAAGTTTTATTGTTTTTAATTATATTTACATCTTTTTATTACGTTATAACGAAAGGAATTTTATTATTTAAATTATTTATTTAGTTTTAATAATTTATTAATTAGGATAATTTATTAATTATTAATTTATTAAATTGCTTAATATCAATTTAATTTTGAAAATTAGTTCTTTAATACTCATTAATAATTTCATTAATAATTAATAATTAATTATCGCTAATTAATAATTTCAAGAACATGTTTTACAAAAGGATTTCATAGTGACTTCAGGATATTTGATTAATCGTAAAATATTTTCAGTACTGTTTAAAAATATATGGTTTTTTTTTATTTAATTATTTGTATAATATAGATGAATGAATGTATATAATATATTTATTTCACATTTTTTTTGTCTATTTTTAAGCTCAGATAATTTTTGAAAATAAGGTTCATAAATTTTTTAACCTATGCATAGCGTCATTTTTATTTTTTCATCAGTTTATGCTTTATAATTAGCATCATTTTTCATCAATTAATGTTTTTTCTGATGTACTGTAATCAGTAATTTCTTTATTATAAAGTTATGGTTCTTATGCCTTTTAATGCTTCATAAAAGAATCAAGTTTATATTCTCATAATCTAAATATAGATTGTATTGGATGAATGAATAAATTTTTCCTCTGCAAATTTTAATCTGCAGCATCCTTAGACATCTAGAAGATTCACCATTATTTCTTATCTTCAAACCCAACGGAAGAACTTCCCAGTCTATGGATTTGCTGTATCTATCTTCAGAATAGATAGTAAAGTTTCCTTTTTGAAAACTTTTGTAGGGCTTCAAACAGTTATTCTTAAAAAAAACCCAAAGTATACCCCTGTATTCAACATAATACACCGCAAACGTAGTACATACTGGTATTGTAATATGAAAGAGACTATGCAGTAAACTTTGGGAAATATAATATGCGCTATACTGTGTAGAACACGAAATCACTGATAAAAACTTCACTTGAAAAATACGATAATTCATACAATTGAGAGTAGGTATTCACAACTTCAGAAAACTCCTCAAATGCTCAACAATACATAAAATGAAGTAATTCACGTATGGTATTTTAAAATTCATTCATAATTGCCGCCTCATGTTAAAAGTATCCTCTGAAAATACCCAAATTCCACGATGAAAAAATCAATGG